AGCACAGCTCGCACATGGCAGTGTGGATGTGTTCTTGCACAAGAAACAACCAGTGTAGACATTGCCTAAGTTTCCTCACATGAGCAAAATGAATTTTGTGTTGTGCACCAGTACTGAGTTTATGTGGCTTGTTTGAATGTGCCACCCAAGTTATTAATAAATATTTTTAAACCTCTACCTTTTCCCTCTGCTTCCATGTTTCCTCCCCATGCTCCATCAGCTCTCCTGGTGCCTGCTGCCCTCCCACTCCTCACCCTCCTCTGCTGTCCTGACTCCTTCCCTTCTCACTGTCCTCAGCCCTCCTGCAATCTGGCCCCCTCCACCAGCCCTTCTCTCCTCCCTGTGCCCACTCTTCCAGTAGCCCCACTCTGATCATGTGAGCTACCCCTCCTCATCCCCTCTCCTAACACCTCCCTTTACAATCCTGCCCTGCGTCTCTCCTCTGGTGCTGGTCCCTCCCCTGCAGGTGTCTGCCCTTCTGCTTCACCCCAGAATCCCCTGGCACTGCACCTTCCCTTACCCCTGCACCCTCCTGATGCCTGCCCCTTCCCGCACTGCCCCTGCGCCCTTTGCCCTCTTTTTCCTGCATCTTCTCTTACCCCTGCCCCCTCCTGGTGGCTCCCCCTTCCCTAACTTCCCCTGTCCACTTTGCCCCCTTTTTCCTTGATGCCCACCCCTCACCACCCTCTGCCCCCATTCCCCTCATGCCCCTGTGCCCTCTCACATGACTTGCTCCATCCCGGCCCTCTTCATGCCTACCCCTTCTTTCAAGCCTTCTCCCAGCACCTCCCACTCCAGCCCCCAATGCCCTTACCCTCTCCCCTCCCAGCATCACCCTGTCCCCCTCCCACTGACACCTCCCCTCCTGCCTTTTTCCTCATTGTCTGCACTTGGCCCCCTATGGGCAGCGAGTTGTATGGGCCTGTGGTGCCCATGCTCCACCAATATTTGGAGCTGGAGCAGGCCCCGGCCTTCCCCCTCTCTCCTGCCCCTCTGCACAAGCCCCTTCCTCTCCCAGCCCTTCCCCTTCCTCAACTTTCCACTTTGCGGGGCTGAAGTCTGCGCTCCGTCCCCGGACTCTGAACCCGAACTCAGCCACACGGAGCAATGCAGCACCCAGCAGTTTTAAAATCCCGGGCCATGACATTACGTCACGCCCGGGCGTCTCCCCGCCCACCGGTTTGAACATGCTGTGCAGGGCAGCAGCAGCCAGCAAGGGGGAGCTCAGTGAAGGTTGTGCATGGCAGGGACTGGCTGGGGATGGAGGAGAGACGCACTGGGGCTGGGGTGGGAGGACATGTGGAGGGGCCGGGGCCCGCTCCAGCTCCAAATATTGGTGGAGCATGGGCACCACAAGTCCATGCACCTCGCTGCCCATGCCTCTGCTGGCTCTCTCTCTCTCAGAGGGGGCGGGGGAGTGCCGGCTCCCTGCAAAACCCCTCGTGTTGCTTTGCGGAACCCCAGGGTTCCCTGGAGCACCAATTGGGAAACACTGGGTTAGACCAACCAGTAGATTGGGATCTTATGGTAGATCCTGGAGCCTCTGACAGGTGATCCTGACTAGTTTGACTGGGAGGCTGTCAAGTGCCAGCACTTCAGCTGCCCTTCCTCCCACTGCTGTATTGCTTCTGCCCTATGCCTTAGAGCAGTGTTTCCCAAACTATGGGCCACTGCCTGGTACCGTTCTGCGGGGCTGGGGTGGGAGGACATGTGGAGGGGCCGGGGCCCGCTCCAGCTCCAAATATTGGTGGAGCATGGGCACCACAAGTCCATGCACCTCGCTGCCCATGCCTCTGCTGGCTCTCTCTCTCTCAGAGGGGGCGGGGGAGTGCCGGCTCCCTGCAAAACCCCTCGTGTTGCTTTGCGGAACCCCAGGGTTCCCTGGAGCACCAATTGGGAAACACTGGGTTAGACCAACCAGTAGATTGGGATCTTATGGTAGATCCTGGAGCCTCTGACAGGTGATCCTGACTAGTTTGACTGGGAGGCTGTCAAGTGCCAGCACTTCAGCTGCCCTTCCTCCCACTGCTGTATTGCTTCTGCCCTATGCCTTAGAGCAGTGTTTCCCAAACTATGGGCCACTGCCTGGTACCGTTCTGCGGGAAGAAAATACCGGGCCTCAGTGTGGCTTCCAGGCTGGGTGGAGGATGCAGCTGGATGTTCTGGGCTCCTGGCAGAGGCGTAGTGAGTGAGGAGCAGGGGAGGCAGTTGCCCTTGGGTGCCACGCTAGGGGGGCGCCAGGCTGGGCTGTGGGGGGGAGAGGAAGGAGGCGGGGGGCGCTGGGCTCACCTGGGCTGCAGCAGGAGGCAGGTGCTAGGAACCTGGTGCTGGACTCAAGGAAAGGGAGGGAGGGGCAGGGAATCAGTGCTGGGCTCAGCATGTCTGAGTGGTTTGGGGGAAGGGTCAGGAAGCAGAGCTCAGTTGGGCTGTGAGAGTGAAGAGGTGCAGGGTGCTGGGCTGAGCTGGGCTGCAGGAGTGAGGAGATGCAGCGTGCTGGGCTGTGAGGTAGGGCGAGAGCTCAGAGCTCAGTTTGGCTGCAGGAGGAGGGAGGTGCAGGGAACCCGGGGCTAGACTCAAGGGCAGGGAGGGAGGGGCAGGAAATCAGAGCTGGGCTCAGCAGTTCTACGGGGTTTGGGGGTAGGTGCAGGGAAACAGGGCTCAGCTGTGCTGTGGGGGAGGCATGCAGGGAACCAGTGCGGGGCTCAACTGGGCTGAGGTGGATGTGGGAGGCATAGGGAATAGAAGAGCAGCTCAGCTGGGCTGTGAGGGGCTGCAGGGAACTGGTGCTGCACTCCCTTGGATTGTGGGGGATGGTTTTGGGGAGGTGTAGCGAACCAGTGGGGGTGGGCAGCTGAGTTGGGTAGCAGGGGATAGAGGTGCAAAGAAGCCTATTGGGGAGGGGGAACCAGGAGCCCTGAAATGACCTCCCCTGGCCCAAAAATCCTTCATCTGGGACCAGTCAGGTCCAGAGGGTGCCAGATCAGGGAGGTTTAACTCCTACCCAAATCCCCTCCTTGCACCCTCTCTTCTAACCAGATACCCACCCCCAATCTGCTCCTGTTCCTGCCTCCCGGAGTGCCTGTGTGGCGCCAGGTCCCCCAAACCCTGGTCTAGCTGGGTGGAGGATGCAGCTGGATGTTCCCCGCTTTCTGAGTGCCCATATGGCGCCGGGTCCCCCAAGCACTGGCCCAGGCTGGGCGAATTTATTCATTTTTAATACTTTTTTTATATGCTTTTATATTTTTGGCCTGCAAAAAACAGTACTGAAAAAAAATGGGTTCCAACTAAAGTAAAAAGTTTGGGAAACCCTGGTCTAGCCAACTTTTTATCCATCTTACAGTCCATTTATCCAATCCATATTCCCTTAACTTGCTGGCAAGAATATTGTGGGTGACCGTATGAAAAGCTTTGCCAAAGCTGGCATTAGGGGCTTTGGGAGGACCAGAAACAATTTATTTGCATATTCATCATTTGCTTAATGAATATGCAAATGAATGTTACCGGTCCTCCAAGAGCTTGTGAATGGATTTACTGGTCCCCGTGTCAAAAAGTTTGGGAACCCCTGCCTTAGAGCTACCACTTGATAGCCTCTTGCTTGCTGTGCAGGGTGGGGGAGGCAGAGGAGGGTGGGCACTGATGTCAGCGTGTCTCCTTCCTTTCACCACTGTACTCGATTTCCACAGAGTGAGCAGGGAAGCTTCAGAGAAGGGGCGGGGAAGGAGGTGGGGCCTCAGAGAAAGGATGGGGCAAGAGTGTGTTTGAGGTAGATCTTGGATTGCACTTAAAAAAAATGATCTTATGTTTAAAAAGTTTGGAGACCACTGGGTTAGACTTTAGAAAAACTTTGTAATTAGAGAGGTAGTTAAGCTCTGAAATAGGCTTTCACAGAGGATTATGGAATCCCCATCATTAGAGGTTTTTAAAACAGGTTGGACAAATACCTGTAAAAATTGTCTAGACTTGGTTTTGCCACAGTTCAAGGGACTGGAATTGATGACTTCTCAAGGTCCTTTCAGCCTTGCCTTTCTGTGATTTATCGTAGATATTGTGATAGGAATATGCAACAAAAGGAAGCTTTGACTTAATTGGTCTTTATAGACGTGATGCACGTCTGTTTATTTCTTGTTTATCTGTTTGGTTTGATCTTACTATTTGTTAGAGTCATTTTCATGAAGAGAGGATCATTGAATTCACCTCATTCAGTGCCTTGAGTAATACTAGTTTATATGTCATTAATCGTAGATATTGTGATAGGAATATGCAACAAAAGGAAGCTTTGACTTAATTGGTCTTTATAGACGTGATGCACGTCTGTTTATTTCTTGTTTATCTGTTTGGTTTGATCTTACTATTTGTTAGAGTCATTTTCATGAAGAGAGGATCATTGAATTCACCTCATTCAGTGCCTTGAGTAATACTAGTTTATATGTCATTACTTTTGATTA